AACTTCAGGATCGGATTCCCATGGTGAATCTTGCTGCTGCTTATGAGAAAGAAGGAATCAGTGCCTTCCGCTTTGACTTTGCAGGAAATGGGTATGTTCAAACACAAAAGCCAATATAGAAACCTCTAGATTAGCAAATAAATGGAAAGGGAGTGCTGCTCCCAGTGAACTTTGTTCTTCTCGTATTCTTGATCTGTGAACTTAGATTTACTCAAATGAATGGTTATTGAATTTTCTCCTTTTTGGGAAGGTGAGGAATATCTACTTGGAGTATTATAAACTTGCAAATTCTTTAGGTTATTGGGAGAACTAAATATATATGTATCTGGATTGCTGCTGCATATGCGTATGGACCAAAATTACATTTATTTAACTTCGATACTTTGTTTTGTTCTCTTCTTAACTTTTTCCTTTTCACTTGCAAGTATTAGGAGCTCCTCGCATACTTGTCTAGTGTTGTTTCATATACACTATATTGGCCTTAAAGTAGCTCTAGTTGATTCTTTTGACTTCAATGAACAATTTACTGCTTCCAGCTTGTTGAATTGGAATCTTACAGATAGGGTTCTGTCAGATGGATCTCCTCTTCAAGTTTTCTCAGGATTAAACCTGACTTACATTATGCATAGCATTATATTCTCTATATGGAGATGATAAATTTCTAATTTCTAAATATTATGAACACAGTAAAAATAATTGAAATGAACTACTGAAAACTCACTTTGTTTTTGGTGTCAGTGAAAGCGAAGGTTCCTTTCAGTATGGTAACTACCGCAGAGAAGCTGATGATCTTCGTGCCATAGTCGAGCACTTCCATAAGGAGGAGCGTTTCATAGCAGCAATAGTTGGTCATAGCAAAGGTTTAGCCTTTGAAAGCTAACTTATGTCTGATCTTGGGAAGATACGCCGTGTTTCTCTTTTCCTTTCCCCATTCCTAGTTCTCTTGCTAGGGGTGTGAATGGTGGTGTTTGGAGGATTACAGTACCACTATACTGGAACAGTACATGCAGTCTAACTGATGTTTCGACCAGTAGCAATGCCACTTTTCGCTGCTGTTTGATTCGAGTCATTGATAGATAGAAGCTTTCTTGTCATTACTGCTTATCATACTTGATGCGTTCACGTAGGAATTTTACATTTTGTCCTTGCAATTTATGTTAAATCTGCTGAGTAAGTTATGTTTGAGTGCATAAATGAATACCCTTTCTTTGTTAGTAGGTAAGTTTTTCTCATTAGGTCATCAATATTTTCCTGGATTGGGATTCGTAAATATGTTAATAGATTCTTGATCTGTATCTTCCATTTTTGGGTGTGTGTGTTATGTCTTTGTTGGGGGTTCTTGTTTTGGTTCAGTACTTCAGGGATTATTAACAGTACTTTTTGCAAGAATATGTGTGGGTTGAAAATTGTGTGTTCATACTCGAACTTTTGAGTGTTCTTATTTCATTATGAGCTTTTTAAACATTGAAGAAGGTTTTCCTTTTCAAGTAAATAGTTCTTTGTTAAAATCAAATTATGATTGCTGATTTAGCAATTTTTGGTTTACTGTTATGTTCATTTTAAATTTAACTTTAAAAGGTAGCAGTAAATGTTGACAACCTTCATGTTTTACCCCAGCATTATATGGTCCTGCTAACTGCTGATGTTTATGATGGTATTTTCTCTTGTCCATATTCTACTTAATTTCTTATCAGTAAGAGTTGCACAAGTACTTTGAATTGTCATGATAGTGATGTATTGATCTCACAGGAGTCGGGACACAGTCAAATTTACAAGGAAAGATAGTATCTTCTTGTGCTATAGTTTGCATTGTATCCTCTCTTCACATAATCAACACATACTGCACCTCAAATTAAGTTATAGTAACTATCTCCAGCTTATTTTTCTGCATGCATATCGTATGACCTCTAATGTCCCCGCTGAAGTGTATTTTTTTGTGATAAATTACCTACAGGAGGAAATGTTGTACTCTTGTATGCTTCGAACTACAAGGATGTACAAACTGTCATCAATATTTCTGGGCGCTTCAATCTTGAGAGAGGGATAGAGCATCGCTTGGGCAGAGACTTCAAAGAGAAGATAAAGCATAACGGTTTTATTGATGTTAGAAATAGAAAAGGTATGCTTAATGGACTTCTTTTCCTTTTGTGTTCTTAGTAATCGTCATATTTCTGTCCCATTTTCTGTTGGATGTTCTTTGGTATGGATCATTGGATGTTTCACACTTCTAAAACTTCTAAAAAGCTGCTAAAAAATGACTGACCAAAAAGCGAGGGACAACGTCGCTCCAAAACATGATGCCATTTGCAACGTTATCCGTCATTTTTATTATTTTCTTAGTTTTTTGTACAAATGATGGACAATGACTCTATGTCCGTCGCTTTTTTTTTTGGGCGGATTTTTGCGCCAAATATACATATAATTAATAATTATTTATTTAATATACGTAGAGACGCCATCTATTGCTTTTAATTTAATATAATTATTTTTAAATTAGTAAATAACTACGTCATCCGTCATACGTAAAACGATGGATGACGTGGTTATTTAATTAAAAACGACGGACGATGTCTCTTCGTATATGAAATAAATAATTACTAATTATATATACATATAAATATATATGGCTCAAAAAAGCGATAGACATAGATTCACTGTCCGTCACTTTTTGTAAAAAATAAGAAAAACGACGTACAGCGTTGCAAATGGTGTCGTTTTTTGGAGCAACACCGCCTGTCACTTTTTGGTCTGTAGATTTTTAGCAGGTTTTTAGTAGTGTCAGTGGATGATAGTAAATTAAACCACTTAGGGAGGTAGATGACATTGTTAGATGACTTGGTGTGGCTGGTTTAGCTAATGGAAATCATTTCGTACAGTTGATTAGACAAGATATGGACTGTAAATGTGAGGTACAGCACAAGTTTGGTTGATGAAAATGACATAATATTATGCTTCAATAGATAAGTTCTGATGATTACAAGTCTGGAACTAAAGACTTGGTAAATATGGAATGTGGCATTCTTTTCTAAATAAACTAAAGCAGAATGTGAGACACATAAATTGAAACGGGGGAACACATCAATATAAAAATTTAAAAATGTAACAAATATGAAGGGGCAAAACCTTAGTATAATGAAGAATCACACTCCATTCACTGAGTGAGTTGCTTCGAAATAGTGTTATTATACTTCAAGCCCATGCCCAGCACATATTTCAGACGTTGCTCTGCATCAACTATCGTGAATATGTCGCTTCATTCTTATTCATAATTATTTGATCCTATATTTAAATGATACCCGATGATCTTTCGCTTCCGTTCCCAAGAAATATAAACATTCTTGCAGCAACTCCTTGCTTCTTTTTTTTTTGTATGTTAAATGAAGTTTATGCGTTCTCAATTAACTCGAGTTTTAACTTTGTAATTCACTTCAAATTTTTTGTTGTAATTTATATTTATTACTAGTCTCCACAAAATAACGTAAAAGGGAGTGTGTTTTGGTGGAAAAAAGGAAAAACTTATTTTGAGGCTTTTATTATGAAATAAAAAGAGCAACAGTAAAACCCCTTTGTCATGTCTGGTTTTGTCCAATTCGCCCCTTCCCATGCTAGTGGGTTTGCCTCAGTTCTGCCTTAGAGTCTAGGCGAATCTATGTGCAAAATTCTGGGTACATCATTGCACCAAAAGAGGCATAACAAAGATGAATTCTAGGTAAACCTTGTGCTGTTGATCCTATGCATTCTCTAATTTGTGGTTGTCTCCTCCACCGTTCTTAGGTTGAGAGTGATCAGTTCTATTTTCTATTCTGATATCCTTATCAAATATCCTAGACTTGACTGCATGTAGGACACCTGTGGGAGAAAAACAACGAGAAAGTCTAATTTAACATACCCACGAATGATATGGTAACCCAATTCCTTTTGTCTTGATAGATTTTGAGATTGCCTTTAGTTGTTAGTCCTACATACTGCCATCTCTTGCTATTTGCAGGAAGGTTCAAGTATCGTGTCACTGAGGAAAGTTTGATGGACCGTCTAACAACTGATACTCGTGGATCATGTCAAAGTATCACCAATAACTGCAGGTCAGGAATTGATATTTTGATTATTACTAAGTGATTCTTAAGTTTTCACATCATATCTACTGTATGAATACAACCTTTTCAACAGTAGGGCACTAATTTGTTTTCTGTGCCTATTGTGTGCACGTCTCAGTATGAGTCCACTTTTGCTTGTGAATGGTTATTTGTTCATCAACTGTGTATTAAACCTGCTGGGTTAATATAATAGGGTATTGACGGTCCATGGTTCAATGGATGAAATGGTGCCAGTTGAAGATGCTATGGAATTTGCCAAGAATGTGTCAAATCATAAATTACAAATTATTGAAGGAGCTGATCATGAATTCACTTTGCATCAAGATGAGTTGTCTTCCGTTGTGGTTGCTTTTGTGAAAGCAGGTTTAGGTGGAAGAAACTACATGGCTATGCCATCTGAGTCATGCAAAAGAACAAGTGGATGTATACATTCACGATTTTGATCCAGTATCCTTATGTTGTGTACAAGTTAATTATTTACCAACAACAAGAAACAGACACCAAAACAGCTTGTAACTTTGTAAATGAGCATAGCCACTGTTGTAATCTCACCGCTAATTAAATGAAGTATTTGAAGGACCAAATACCAAAACTCGGGGCATCACATGAAATTTATAGGTACTGCAGAAGATGGGGAAGAAAACAAGAAAAGGATATTAATGTAGTAATGGCGGTTGTTTTCTTTCCTATTTTTGCTGGAAAGAACCATCATTCAACATTCTTTGAACTTCTGTACAATTTTATATCAAACATTGATTTATACAAGTAGTGAAATGTTGAAATTGCTTTTGGTTCATTTTCTGGGATGTTTCTAAAGTCTCATAGCTGCACAGATTGTGCTTGAGGTTCTGCCGTACTACTTTGATATATTGTGCAAAAATCGAATCGATAATGATAAATAATCGATAACCCAATAAGAAGGTTGTGGATCTCCAATATAAGCAAAAATTCATCTGTCCAATGAGGAAGATATCCGGGAACACTTCTGTGTAGCCAAAACTAAATTGACAAGTAAATCACACAAGTTTCAGGCTTGAGACAGGTCACGACTACCTCGAGTATTTTCTCAAACAAAAACTACATCCACAACCTTCACAAGCTTCGGAATACAACAAATACTTCCCAAAGTTACAACATAAAATTGTGCAAGGCATTGTAAAATACTATAGCTCCTATATAAAAATGACATACAAGAACTCCCAGTCTCAAGTCTCTATAGCTTGTCTAAGTGATTTATGCTGCAACAGTCTTTGGCTTCGCGCCAATTTTTTTCCAGGAAACACTAGGCATTATCTGCTTTGTGTCGACACGATCCTTATATTGAACAGCAAAGTTCAATAGAGAGTCGAGAAGAGAATCAGAAAGAAGGTGAGGTTGTAGTCCCAGCTCAATAAGTTTAGTATGTTTGGCATTGTAGTAGTGTTCCTCTGCTTCTACTCTTGGATTGGGCACTGATATGGCCTTCACCTCAAGGCCAAGTTTTTGCCCTGCCTTGGTGACAAGGGCTGCAAGCTCATTTACTGAAAACTGCTCTGTGAATTGGTTGAAAACCCGGAACTCTCCTGGTTTTGCTGGATTGGCAATTGCAATTTCAACACATTGAACTGTATCTCTGATATCCAAATATCCCCTGGTCTGTACAACACAAAAAAAACACGTTAGAAAAGCAAAGAATGCTGTTAAATGAAAAAAGACTTATTGTCAAGGGATTGTTGGTCAGGGTGCTCATAACTTAATATTAACAGTAAGCGGGAGTGAACAAAAATCAAGCCCCACCAAAGGAAGGAAGCCATTCAAATTCACCTTTTATTATTTTCTAAAGACCGTACTGGCCCCCATCTCACCACTTATCTTGCTTTCTGGACAATCGTGTTAGATGCACTATATGAGGTGAAATCATCCAAATCTCAATACCTTCCATGTCCAGAAACAATCTCCAATAGTACTAAAAATTTACTTTCGTGGGTGTTACTAATTCTAGTGCAATGAATTACAAACACATAAAGGGAAGAAATATCAGCTTATATTCAGCAGTTGGGGAGAATGTATGCAGATTACGTCTACAGTCCAGTGATTTTAGCATTTCCTATATAGAAGGTTTCTCAGTCCCTTCCTGATAAAAATATAAGTTTTTTCCGATTTCTGTCTCCGCATTGAATGGTTACAGTCATGGCAATGGAAGAATGAGTTCATTTTAACTCTCTTTTGATGAGCGCAGTTATGGATCATGTCACTGATTATTGAAGTTCACCCTGTTTATGGTCCCAAGAACAATTTTTTTGATATGTTCGTTCGCAAGAACAAATAACAAAAACGTCAGAGATGGACTCAATGTATATCTTATGCACTGTATAAAAGCTAGGAAAGAAGTTTCACTTGAGGACCTATGGATAGAGCTCAAGATTTCTTCAATAGAATTGGTTGTTTATTCATTAAAATGCAGTACCACATGGAACAAGAGGAAATTCGTACCTGCCCTCCTTTACCATACACCGTTAGTGGATGTCCAACAGCAGCCTGAACACAGAAACGATTTAGTGCAGTTCCAAATACACCATCATAATCAAGTCTGTTAACCAGATCCTCATGTATTGCAGTTTCATCAGTCCTCACCCCATATACAACTCCCTGATTCAGGTCGGTAGCTCTGATTCCCCACGCCTTGCAAGTGAAGGCTATGTTGTGGGAATCATGGACTTTACTCAAATGATAGAAGGAGCTTGCTTGTTTGGGATAAGGAAGAGTATCTGTTCTTCCGTTATGAGTAATAGTTATATAACCTTCTTCAATATCTATATTAGGGGTTCCATATTCCCCCATGGTCCCGAGTTTGACCAAATGACACTCTTCCCTAAACTCCTTTATGGCAAATAGTACATTAAGTGTCCCTATCACATTATTATGTTGGGTATAAATAGCTCTTGACCTATCAATCATAGAATAAGGGGCAGACCTCTGCTCTCCAAAATGGACTACAGCATCAGGTTCAAAGGATTTGAAGGCTTCTGCCAAGAACTCAAACTCACATATATCACCAACAAACAGTTGAATATCTTTTCCTGTGAGAGATTTCCAACGCCTTATGCGGTTATGAATAGATGAGATGGGTGTTAGAGAATCTAGACCAAGCTGGTCGTCAAATAATCGACGGATAAGGTTGTCAACAATGGCAACTTCATATCCCTTGTTGGATAGGTGGAGAGCAGTAGCCCAGCCACAATAGCCATCACCACCAATGACCATGACCTTCTTCCTAGTGGATGCTCCATCAGTGGTCTGTTGAGAACCAGAGTCATTCTGTGTTCTGGCTTCTTGGCTCATGGAAACAGCTGAAGCTCTGATCACATATTTTGCAGACCTTTTGCTTTGCAAACTTAGCTTCAAGGGTGAGAAAGAAATTCCCATATTAAAACATGTTGGATTAGGAGTAGAGCATTGGTTAATTGACTTGAAATGCAGCTTTTTGCTGGAAGAGACATCTAAAGAACATGTAGTAGAAAGTAAATGTGCCATGATAGCCGCCTCGATATGAGCCTACCAATTTTCTTAAACCTGCAAAACTAAGAAAGTATGAATCAGAGCAGAATGCAGACTCTTATTCTATCTAGGAAATACAAATAGGAAAGCTAGTTACAAGAAAACTGAAAACCAATACAAAAAAAATAAAAACTAAATTAGCAAGTGTCAGGAAACTGAAAACCAAAAACTAATAAAGATAAACAGCAAGTGTCCTCTTAGAGTAAAAAATTATTCTGTTGCTAGATTTTAAATTTCTCCTTCTGTTAATCAATATAAATTTCAATCACAAAATAGAATCAAGGATATGATGGCTAATACACTTTACCACATTCTTCTAAAAAGAACTGGCCAAAGTTTAAGAATAAAATTATTTTTTGATGATTGATAGATTGCCTGTGAGTTAGCTAGGCCAAACCCTAACTGTGCATTTGAAACTGGAGGGAATATGGACCCACCCTTCTCCCACTTACTTCGAACCAGTGGTATGTGCGCCAAATTCACACACACCGCTGTATCCTTATCACTGAACCAAAATGCTTGGGGCAGTAAAAAAATCACGAGAACACAAACTTTTGGCGAAGCAAATATGCTTGGCAATGAACATATAATCATCCTTGGGGAAGGTGTTTTTTTCACAGAATCAAAGCTGAAACAGGATACACCACAATCAAATTGTAAGTATTGTTGGAAGGAATGATACAGATGGGCAAAGTGTCCAATTGGCATGAGAAGCAGGTGGATCGGAAGATCTGAAAGGGCTTTCCTGCCAGTATGCGCAAAATATGAAGGTTTAAATGGTTCTGGAAATGTGGTCACATAATTGTAAGATTGATAGTAGCAAACAAAAAAGTTGATTTATCCACTACACATTTCAAAGCAACAATAACCATATCTCTTCAGATGGGAGATCATCTCCATCCTAGTCCTTGCCTATTGCAGGCATCGCAAGAGATGCAAACAGCGAATGTCATCTGGAAACTTGGGCTGATGAAATATCAGTCTGGATCACTACTGAATAAGGTAAAAGTTGCTTAATTGAAAGGATAACTAACACAAATATTTGTTCTACACTTCCACTACTAATTGATAATTTTACTAGTAACAACTTTCTCCATCCTCAACATGAATGTGCAATTAGGACGAAGCAACGCATCTTGATGTAATAAACTTCCTAGTGCAAATAGACCGTAAACATGAGTTGTTTTTACAACATTATAGCATAACCAGTGTTCCAAAGAGATGGTTGAACAACATTCTTTCAACAGTTGAAATTAGGATAAGGTCAGTAACAATGGAATAGTTTCACTTAGAACAAAGCCCAAAAAATGGCAGTACAATGGATTTCATGTTACGAAATGCTCAAAAACCTAAGACATTTTCAATACAGACATAAATTTCTCTCCCCCAGTTAGTCTACTCCAGAACAACAAAACACATATTGATAATATTTAGTCAAAACCATAAAGAACAAACTTAGAACAGAAAATAGTCAACTGACTACATAAACCAAACACTTTTTACTAAATATTGCAACAAAAAAAAAGGAACATTAAAAACTGAACCAAGCAGTAGAATTAAGATTGTAAAGAATTAATTTTTTGTAATTAAAATTTTTTAAAAAGCAAATTCTAGAAGCTAAAAGGGTCACCTGGTGATGCTTGTTAGACATAAAATCCTTACAAGAGAGTGAGAAAGGTTTTCATTTATCTGATATTAAAATTTTTGCCCAAGAGATCTCTTTGCCCAAACGGATATTCTCTACATCCCAACCTTGTTGACGACAAAATTACAACTTTCTCCCTCCTTAACCCTTGTCAACTTCAATCTTGTGCCTTCGTGGTGTTACCTTATAACAATTGTCCTTTTATTAAAAATAAAATTATTTATATATTTCAATTTTACTTTTAGAATTAATTCATTTTTGTTATAAAATCAAGTTCACAAGAGATATAATCATAAAGAGAAGAAGACAAGAGATGTAGATAGAAGAAGAGGAATTTTCTTCTTATTCAAGTGTATTCAAGTCTCATATGTATATATTACAATAGTGAATAAACAACTCTATTTATAGAGTGAGAAATCACTCCAAAGGTCATCATATTAAGTCTCATAATAAATAAATATATTCTTATCCAAAAAGGTTCATATAACCTAGTGAATATGAATGGTTGTTCATGTACCAACCTTATGGACTATCCACTCATTATATGAATTTATAACACTCCCCCTTGGATGTCCATAGATAATGTGCCTCGTTAAAACCTTACTACAAAAAACCCTGTGGGAAAAAATTCTAGTGAAGGAAAAAGAGTACACATATCTTTTGATACACACCATTTGTTGCCTCATTAAAAACCTTGCCAGGAAAACCCAGTGGGAAAAAACCTCGATCAAGGGAAAAAGAGTGCAACGCGTATTGTACTCCCCCTGATTAAAACATCACTTAATTTCTTGTGATGATGTCTCCAATCTTCGTACATTGTGGTTGGTATATTCCTTTTTAAAAGAAAAACCACACATTTCTTGAATATGGTGTGTCATTTATTTCAACCAGACGCACTTTTGACTTGCTTCATGGAGGACTTTTATTTCTGCAGAGCAACATTTACTTCATTGATCCCCAAGATATTATTGTGTCTCCACATGCAAACACATAGCGTGATTGAGATAGAACTTTATGCAGATCAGATAAATATTCAGCATCTGCGTAACCAATCAATTTTGTCTTGGATTCTTCGGGATAGAATAAGCCCATAACTACGGTCCTTCGAGGATATTCAATCATGTGTTCAACACCATTTCAATGTCCTTTTATCGGGGAGAAACTGAATCTTGCCAGTAAATTTACTGCAAAACAAATATCTAGTCAAATATTGTTAGTAAGATGCACTAGTGCCCTGATTGCACCAAGATAGAGTTTCATCACCAAGAAACTCATCATCCTTCGTTTGAGATCAAACTGAATCATCATTTATGAAGTGATCTCATAATCATTGGGGTACTCAATGAATGCGATTTATCCATATAAAATTGCATCAAAACTTTTCAGTGTATGTGCACTGTTAGACAAACATTTCATTTGTCAAATTATCAATCTGTAGGTCAAGAGAAAATTCTGTCTTACCAAGACATTTTCATAAAATACAAAGACAATTAGGGTCATTCTTTTGTACCCTTTTCTTTCTTGACTATTGCAATCCATATAAGGATTATTGAGGCTTTATATATTAAAAAAGTTTCTGTCAAACTCTTATATGCTTCAGACACCTCGATTGTTTCAAGGATTTTCATATAACCTTCATTGTCTAGCTAGACATTACAATTATTCATTACATGTATTCAAGTTTTTCATATGTTGCCAGATCAAAACGAACCTCATTGCATCCACCAAAGGAGAAAACATCTCCAATAATGTCAGGATTTTTGCGATAACCTTTATGCCCCAAGGCACAAATCGTATTTGATATCTTACGATTATACTATCGCATAATAATTTATTTGTACCCCACTGACATTATACCTTGATTTATGGACTACCAGTCCAAAATGTCACTTTTCTAAGTGAAACAAAATATACTTGAATTGTGCATTTTACTTGGCCAACCATTTATCTGTCCACACTATATGACAAATTTGAATTCAAGATCCTCGTCACAATTTATATCATTGAGCGCTACCTCATATCAAAGATACCGTCGACGGTTATTTGATATCGATTCCAACAAGACATAACTTATCGAGATCTTTTCATTTTTTATTATTTTAGGTACCTGAACCTTTTTCAAGATTTTATGAAGTGTTATGTCAATGTGCGCTTTTATAGCACTTGCCTCATTATCATGACCATATTGATCATTTGCTCCTTTCTTCTTTAAGAAATTTTATATTTGGAATCAATTGGTCTATTATGCTTTTGGCGTATCATAGACTCTGTCCTTCAAGGACTTCACATTGGAGCATTCGCAGTTGAATTATATCATAGAGTCAGTGCATTCATCAGGCAACTGATTTGCAACATTATGCAACTGAATTATCCCTTGAACTTTAAGTTCACATATTTATTTAACGAGGATCTAGATAATTCATAATTAACCTCACACATAATTTTCAGCTGTCAATCATCTCTCCCCCTAATGTTAGAAAATCTAACATTTATTCCAACCTTATTTGGAAGTTCATCTTTGTGCGTGGTGGAGCAATTAAAATCATGACCGCACATTCAACAATTTAGATGAAAATTATATGGTTCCCGACCCTGAACCAATTTTAATGGGGAAACCTTGTTGGTTTGATGCATACATGTGTTGCTACATGTTAAATAAAATTATCTCATACCAAATCTTATTTGGGAGTTTTGTCTCATAACCATGATTTAGCTATAATTGGAGGCATACAATTTCTGCTAAATCAACCAGCATTATCAATATAATTTCATAGTTTGGAACTGTGCTCTTAATTTTAACAATTCGAGCAAACAACCTTACAAAAACCAATTTGTAAGTTGACAACAAAATACATGTAACCATCACATAGATGCATTAATCATATAGTTGCAAATGATCCATATGACAGGTGAACGAGCCCATATTCACCCTTTTATATGTTCCAAAAATTTAGGGGATTACAGTCCTAACCTTAGCTGGTACAATGATCATTTTATAAAGAGAACAAGCAACACAAGAGAATCATTGAAGAATCTTTATTTCTTCATCATATAAATCACCTGAATTCTCAATCACGTTTGCATCACATTTAATCGAAATGGTCAACCAGTCATGCCAACTGATCTTTATTTTAGTACACTTATAATTTACTTTTACATGTGATTTCATCAGCATGTACATGTTTGTATAGAACAAACAAGAGGAAAAGTGGGGTAATCTTTTACATAAACATTTATAACCATCTTCGGTTGTAGTGATTTATAGTCTCAATATTTATTTTCAATTCATCCGAAACTTAAAAAGTTTCTTTTGAGACTTACTACAACCCCAATATTATTCCTCTGGTAATAGCACAACTCCTTAGAGCTTGCAATTAATTTTATGTACTATTACATATTGCATGACACCATCCCTATGGTGAGCATCTCCTTCAAGGAGGAAATTATATTATTATTGTCATGGTCAAAATCATTACGAGCAAGACGTCTTTCTTGCTTTACTTTTGTTGTACCATAGGTACACAACCAATGACAAATTTGTATTGCCACACAATAATGACCACAATCCTTATAGGCAAGAACTATTTCTTTCTTTTGCCCTTTCGATAGTTCATACCATAGTGACGTATAAAACGTACAATACATTAGCCATTTCTGCCAAATAAAATTTATTTCCTCTCAAATCTCCCGTAGAGATGAGAAGTGACATGTATCATTTTTTCTCAAACCTTCAATAGAGGTGAGTTGTGACATATATCCAACCCATAATGATTTTATCATATCTGGACCCATTCTCTTATAGAATGGTCGAGCATTCACCATACTCATCACAAGTCACATTCTCTTCAAGGAATGGACTAATTATTTCTTTGTATTTCATAAATTTGCATTATAAGCACATTGTCATGGCTTTAAAATTCATCATATTTCTATGACACACCTCAACATCACTTTGAAAGATTAATTGTACCATCAGTTTATCCTCTTGTATCATGATAGAGGATTTATAAACTTGTCAAATTATTGGGTCGACAACATTCACAAGTCCAATGTCCTTTCATACCATTTTGATAATGAAAACTGCCTTCACATTTCGAAGGTTTATTTGGAAAACCCATAGTGTTCTTCCTTTTATAATTACCACAATAATGACTATTATAATTCCGTCCCTTCATGCTCTTTTTCATATTGTTAATCATTTGTCATCTTTCAGACTAACTATTTACTGCTACCACATTTATATGATTGAACGGAGCAAGTGAACATGCGATTTTAAAATTATCATATGTTGCTACCACATTCTTTTCAAGGAATGGAGCAAATTCAATAGGACAAATTTCAAGACTTTTCATCAAAGCCTTAGTCATCATTATATCATCACTATGGTGCATTGACTCAAACTCAATGTCTTATCCATATAAGGCGTGTTATGCCATAATTCTATAGGACTTGAACCCAATCACGGTGCGATAGAACTTCAATCTATCGTCTTATCCTCAAATATTTTATTATGATGCATCCGGACTTTAACCTGATGTCTTACCCTTTTGGTGCGATGAAACTTGAATCCATCGTCTTATCCTTAACCAACGGTATAATAAACCGAAGTACAACATGACTTATCCTTTGAGTCTTTCAAAACATTCAAATTCATGCTATTAAAATTTTATACCTTCTTCTATTTAAGAAATTTTGTATAGCATGTCATATTCAACCAATAGTAGTATATGTCTTCGGTTCCTGATAATTGTTAGTGACTGAATACTATTTTTATTCTAAATCATAAAAATATTCTAGAAAATACATACCTTAATTTATGCATATAATACCTTGATTCTCATAACGAGATCAACCAAAACATGAGTTAAAGAAAAACTAAAACTCAATCTTAATTGGCTAGAGACTCGTGCTGATAACGTGTAATAAAATCAAGTTCATAAGAGAAGACAAGATATGTAGATAGAAGAAGAGGAATTTTCTTCTTATTCAAGTGTATTCAAGTCTCATATGTATATATTACAATAGTGAATAAACAACTCTATTTATAGAGTGAGAAATCACTCCAAAGATCATCATATTAAGTATCATAATAAATAAATACATTCTTATCCAAAAAGGTTCATGTAACCTAGTGAATATGAATGGTTGTTCATGTACCAACCTTA